AGGATCGCTTGAGCCCAGGAGTTTGAGGTTGCTGTGAGCTAGGCTAACACCAAGGCACTCACTCTAGCCAGGGCAACAAAGTGAGACTCTGTCTCAAAAAAAAAAAAAAAAAAAAAAAAGAGACAGGGGTATCACTCTGTCACCCAGGCTGGAGTGCAGTGGTGTGATCACAGCTCACTGCAACCTCAAACCCCTGGGCTCAAGCGATCCTCCCGCTTCAGCCTCTTGGAGTAGCTGGGACTATAGGCGCCACCACGCCCAACTAATTATTTTATTTTTTGTAGAGATGAGGTCTTGTTATGTTGCTCAAGCTGGTCTTGAACTCCTGGGCTCAAGCCGTTGTCCTGCCTTGGCCTTCCAAAATGCTAGGATTATAGGTGTGAGCCACCACATCCAGCCTGGAGCATATTTTTGATATAGATAGTATATTTTGGGCAAATGGTTGTAAGAAGTTATAGCACATATCTGGATAGTAAACGTTCATAGGAATAATTAGACATTAGTTCAATGTAAGTAGAAACAGGAACTAGAAAAAGCATGACAGATTGACACTATTTGGCATAGCTGCAAACATTTGTATTTTAAAAAAATCTGGAAGCAATCATTATATATATCATAGTATATCACAATAAATGATGCTCGTAAATTTGACCTGAAGTCTCCAAGAGATGTTATAATACCTACTTCAAATACTCCATTTAATAAAATAAGAAAAACTTTTCTAAAATACATTTCAAACTACAAAAAACTTTTAAGGGCTCTAAGGTAAAATGTTTCTATACTCATCATACACAACCACTAGTCATAACATAAAGGCAAACAATAAAATCCAAAGTTAATAAAACCTTTGTGTGTGTACTCCAAGATTAGTGCATATAAGCTGTCTTACCATGCACCCCAGTATTTCTGGAAGTACAATCCTGCTCCATTTAACTGTTTTAAATCTTCAGTTACCATATTAAAAAAGTTAAAAGGACTTAATTATTTGAATAAGCAATATATTTACAAGGTTCAAACATCTCAAAGTACAATACAGGGTGATACTTCCCTCCCTATCCCATCTTCTTAGTTCTCATCACTTACCCCCAAACGAGAAGCTCTGCCACAGGTTTTTGTTTATCCTTACAGGGGAAAACACAAACCCACCCATACTTGTCACACTAATGTATGTTTCCTTCCTTTTTATACAAATTGGTCTTTCACCTAATAATACACAGTGGAATTCTTTCCATAACACAGTACTATCCTTCCATTTCTCTGCAAAAAAAATCCAGAAATTTTAGGCTGGGCATGGTTGCTCACGCCTGTAACCCTAGCACTTTGGGAGGCTGAGGTGGGAGGACTGCTTGAGCCCAGGAGTTCAAGACCAGCCTGAGCAACATGGCGAGACCCTGTCGTTACAAAAAATAATTAGCCAAGCGTGGTGGTGTATGCCTATAGCCCTAGCTACCCAGGACGCTGAGGAAGGAGGACCACTTGAGCCCAGGAATTTGAGGTTGCAGTAAGCTATGATCATGCCACTGCACTCTAGCAAGACAAAAATAACAAGACTGTTTAAAAAAAAAAAAAAAAAAAGCCCAGAAATTTCAAGCCCATACAAATTGCCACCTATCACAGTATTTTATTAGCTACTCTTCAATTACCATGGGAATATAAAAGAGGGAGATAATGAATTAAATCCATAAATGAGATTTTCAACATCTACCTTTGGCTGATAATTTAAATATCTTTACTTTCTATATTCTGAAAACTTTTTATCAGTATCTTGCATGCATCACATGCTAAATAAATGTTAAATGATGAAACAGGAGAAAGAAGATATACTCTAGTGAGGTGCTAATTATTAGTAAAATGAACAAATGGCAGATGAAAGAAAAATTAATTAAAACAAACTAAGTGTTTCCTTTCCTTATTCTTAAAAGCATTGCACATGCACTTCTGATTGAGCTCACCCATTTGTTGAAAAAGGAGACAAAGCCATATCCTTTAGACTTTCCTGTTGCCATGTCTTTTACCACGCGGGCATCTCTGAAATCAGAAACAATCAGAAGTTTAGGTTTGCAAACTGTCCTTGGATATAAAATGAGAATTTCAAACACAAGTCATTTTTATGTTTCACCTTCAGTAAAGTGAACCTTTAAGGCAAATTCACCTTTTATTCTACAAAATTTATCATGTATTAGCAAATGAGGCTTATTTATATAGACATGCAAATTGATAACTTCTTAAATATATACATATGTGTACATCGTACAGAAATTATCTCCCACTTCAAAAAGTTTTTTAAACTTTTAAATATTAAGCATGGTGAAAGCAGCTATTCACATGAATTAACCACTTATAAGGTTCAAAGCCACATTAAATGAATGGCTTTCTTTAACCATGCAATTTATTATTTGCTATTTGACCATATTCTACCTACATGAAAAACTTAAAATAGAAAACTGGAAATTAAAGAATGAAAAAGTGATATATTCCCTAAACTAAACAAATTACTTCATTTTTTTTCTCAGATTAATTTATACCCCCCTTTTGGACTAGAGTAAATTTTGAGAACTGGTAATTTTCAGAAATGTTAAATCATTGAAGAAAAATACTAGACACACATTTTAGTTCTAAACTACATACGAAAAGATTTTACACTGAATTTTATAATAATACTCATATAAAATGATTGGAAACTACAAGATATAAAAGCAAAATTTTAAAAAGTCAGAAAGTAAAAAAGCACGCCAACATTTATCCACTGTGAACCGTAGCTTGTAGTTAGCCAGGGCAATTCTGTCCATTCTTCAGAGACACTCTGCAAAATAACCAGAGCCCTATTATTTGAGATTGAGTAAAAACCCAGCCATGATAGCTAAAACTCCATACCTCAAAAAATTGGACTCAAATTGTGCTTCACAGGCAATCTGCTTTTAAGTTAGCCAGGTATGTCACAATGCTTGTTCTCTCAGGACACATGAACAAAACAGGCACTTTTACAACAAAAACCCAAGTCAGAAAGCCATGCAATGTAATTTTATATTAAAGTATACATAAGCATATTTTAGATCAATTTGAGTGATTTAATAAGTGTTTAGGGTCAAAATGACAAAGAGGTGATGCTGAAAAGGGAAAACCTAATGCAAGTCACTTCTCAATATGTAAAAATACTTATTAAATTATCTGTATGGTACACATGCATTTAACTTGGTAACTGACTCACTTCTGTATGATAATTTGCTAGTCTACCCTACACTCAAGGAACAGAAAGAGTTTAAATTGTGTAAATCAGGGAAAGTACTATATTTTTTACACTATATATTTTAACAGACCACTGTTTCACTACACACCTCATATAAATCAAGCACTGTTATAGGCACTCTATAGAGAATACCTGACTATCATAAGAACCTTCAACATATAGTTATCAACTTATCTCCTTTAACAACAACAACAAAAACTCAGGAAAATATGCTACCAACTGCCAAATGATTCTTCTAAATTTAGGAAAGCTACCTCCTGTATAAAACCTTAACTGAAAATTTTATAAAACTTAAAGGCCTTACCAAGAAAAAAAAACCAATGTATACATCAATAATCATGGGACCATAAGAAAATTTCTAGATTAAAAATATAATACAGAAACATATCTTATCAAAAAGAAATTACTGATTCATGATTTAAAAGTCATGAAATTGCTAAAATCTGAAGGTCATTTAACCTAAACTTACCAATTGTTACACAATTTTTGTCTAATCCCAAATTAAAATTCCCATGTTTTCAAAAATTTACTTCAGTCAAAATCAAAGCATTTAATAAGACAGCTATTTAATCTGTTTACAGTGTTAGAAAAAGTTTTTTCTTCTCAAAGACCCAGGAAATGTCAGCCATGAAAAAAATTCAACTCTTACTTATTAATCTCTGAAAGGATTCACTGAGGAAGCAGCAGCAAAGATACAGTTCAGGGTTCTTAACTTATGGTCCTGTGGCTACTCTGAGAATAGGATAAAATTTACCAAAATTCTCCGTACCAAAATGAAAACACACAAAATTTTGCACACAGAGATTTAAAGCCCTTGAGAGAGGCCAAAGTTTAAGACCCTCCAAGTCTAGATATTTGAACACAAGCTAACCATTATCAAAACCCTAAAACAGAGTAAGAAGAACAATCAAATTAAAATTTTATTTTCCTAATCAGTTCTCACAAAGAAAAATGTAATCTAACAGAAGCGTCCATTTATAAGTCCTAATCTTGTGACTGCCTTTAAAATTGGCCATTCCTTGGTCACTATGCATTGTCACGTCTTACCAATGAACTATACTCTTCAAATGAAAACTCCCAAAATTCATCACCAATACTAATGGCATTTATTTACTTTCCAGTCTCCTCATCTTCTCATCTCTGCTGTTAGTCTGTTCAAAGCAAACCACAGCTAGTGTTTCCTTTTTACTACTCTTCTAGCTGGAACAACAATAAAGCAACCAGAAACCCCATGAAAATTTTCTAAATTCAACAATTACTCCTAAGAAAGCACTACTAAAAACCACTTATTACTCATACTCTAATATGGCATGCTTTTCAAAATATTAAAGTTCTTCTGTGATGAATGCTACCTTGAGTAAGTTATTTACAAAGGGCCTAAAATGTATGATTAATAATAAGCGCAAGCAAGACACTGCTTCACAAAATACTATAAGGCACTATTATTATTGTTAACAGTTAAAAAAAAAAGGGGTGGTAAATACCTAGAAAATAACATTTAATAACTGCTTTTTTTAGATTGAACTATTAAGGTTTCTTTTTATTAAAATATATTAATACAAAATGCATGGTATCATAGAAGTGCCCAATGGATCTACATTTCTTAGTCATATCACAAGTTACTAAAGAGTATCACCAAACTAGCAAGATACCTATATAAGAAATATAATATGTACAATGGCAAATTTGTCTCTTAAAAGTTAATGCTAATTGAAAAAGGATTTTAAGATAATTGAAGACCAAAGATAGATTTATTCATCAATGAAAAAACAATCTTTGGCTGTTAATTTCTTGAATAATCTCTAAATATATATTATATTCAAGTGTTAAAATTAATGTCCAAAATTCACAATTATTTTCAAACTAATTCTACATAAGATTGTTTCTAATTTAAAGCATTTTATTTAATTTCTGTTACTTACGATATTCTTCCAAATGGTGCAAAAGCAGCTTTTATATCTTCAGTTGTAATTTCTGGACTGAGATCACCAACAAAGACATGGAAATGATCTTATAAGGGGAAGGAAGGGGAAGTGAAAACAAAAACATAACTTTAGAATTTAACA